TGTCACCATTCCCCCAGCTCCTCTCCAGCCTCCTCAGCCCCAGCAGAACCTGGGGAGAAGGTTATTTATTGTCCGCCCCAGTGCCCAAGTGTCATTTTGTCCTCATGTGTCTTCCTGACAATGTCCCCAACATGTGCTGACACCACTTATTGTCTGCTCTGCTCTGTGCTGTGGGTGATGGGACATGGCGGGGACAGAGATGGGGAGGATGTGGGACGTGCCACAGGGACATACAGTGGGGCACGGGGACAGAGATGTGGAGGGCTCAGAGCACAGGAGCACTCTTAGACCCCCCCATAACCCCCACCCTCAGGGCGACAGCTGGGGTGAGCCCCCCACACCCCACAGGGCCTGAAGGGCATTGGTCTCAGGGCCCGGGGGCCCTGTGCACCCAGCCCTGTCCCCGTGTTTCTGTTCCCACCCTCCATGTCCCCATGGCTCCCCACTCCTCAGCAGCCGCTGCTGTGCCCCTGCAGACACGGGTGACACCTGGAGAGGGGTTGAGGGGGAACCCACCTTTCTGCAGGCCTGGGTGGTGCCCGTGCTGGGACAGGCAGTGGGGAATGGGCAAGGGTGGGCATGGATACAGCTGTCACAGATGTCCCACACACACACAGGTGCCACACACAGGTGTCTCACACACATTTATCACACAGAGAACCCCAGAACAGTGAGAGTGGGAAGGGCCCTCTGGTGATGATCCAGCTCAACTCCTGCCCAGGCAGGGTCACCTGGAGCAGGTGACACTTGTCCAGGTGGGTCAGGATGTCTCCATGGAGGGACACCCCGCACCCTCCTGGGCAGCTGTCCCAGGGCTTGGCCTTTCCATGATGCAGGGAAGTTGTGCCTCATGGTGAGCTCAGGACCTAACACCTCGTCCTGCTACTGGGCACCACGGGGCTGGGTCTGGCACCATCCCCATAACCTGGGGAGGTCTGGGGTTGGTGGGATCCCCTCAGATATTTGTATGGATTGGTGCAATCCCCTCAGGTAAGGGATTAGTGTGGACATGTGAGCAGCAGTCCAAAGCTCCACGTGGACTCAGGAGCCCTGGCAGCCTGTCAGGCACAGAGGGGACATTGCCAGGAGCAGGGGAAGATTGAAATGGCTCCAGGCAGCACAGGTGACCCAGAGCGTGGTGACTGGGGCAGGCAAATGGGACATGGAGCAGCAGGACATGGCGTGGCAGCTCAAGCAGCAGGATTTGTTGGAGGGCACAGCTCCTGACTGGTGAGCTCCCTTCAGGTGGGTATTGGTTTTTTCCGTTGTCCAACTTGATTAGACCCAGCAGCAGTTCACACACTGACAAAAGGCATTGCTGGCAGGAGCAGGGAGAAGCAGACAGAGCTTGCCAGGAAACACCAGGTTGCAGGGAGTGTGTGAGCCTACTGTTACTGCTGGAGGACAGTGGGAACAATGCTCCATGTGGTGTGAACAGGTGGAGATCTTACAGAGGAGGTGGGGAGGCTGAGGATTATCAAGGAGTGCCAAGGAGAAACAGACTGGTGGAGTTGTGTCCTGTCACCCAGAAGAAAAATGCAGTGCGTAAAAGCTCAGTAAGAGTCAGAGTAGCCCTGAACCTCTTGCCATCAGGCAGGAGAAGACCTAAAAGCTGGGGAATGGAAACAGGTCCCTGCTTAGGGAGGTAGCAGAATTCCCTCCTGGCTTCCCTCACCTTCCCAGGTGCCCTTACAGAACTGATACGAGGTCCTGGATTTTGAGGGTCAGACAGTTGAGAGAAGAAACTCTACTTGGTGGGTCTCCCAGGTCAGTGCAGCCAGTGAGACAGATCACAACTACAGGTATTAAGGAAAAAAGAAAGAAGGGTAGTTGTAGCAGATGATTCACTTCTGAGGGGGGCCGAGGACCCTGCATGCCAACCACAGCCATCCCACAGGGAAGCCTGCTGCCTCCTGAGGCACAGGCAGGGGACACTGCTGAGAGACTCCCTGCACTAATTCAGCGCCACCACTTGCTGCCCACTGCTCATTGTCCTGATGAGAAAAGTACCAGGGTAAAAAAAAGGACTTCAAGGCACTGGGTTGCCTGGTTGAAGGGACAAGAGCACAAGGTACAAGAGATGGTGCTCTTGATTCCTTTGGTAGTAGCGATGAATGCCAAAATGAATGGGAAGATCCATGGGATCAAAAATTAGCTTAAAGACTCGTGTCATTGGTGGAATTTTGGGGTTTTGAACATGAGGTGGTTTGTATAGCATCAGGCTGGAGATAGATGGGGTTCACCTCTAGAAGAGGCAAGAGTTCCAACCTGTGATTTAGCAGGGCTGATTGAGAGGGCTTTAAACTAGGTTTGAAGGGAGAGCGGGATGAGAGCACACTCACTGGAGATGAAGCTGGGGGCAGCAGGTCAGTGCTGGGGAGAAATCGATAGCGCAGCTAAAGTGCATCTACACCAATGCAGCAGTGTGGGCAACACAGGAGGAGCTGGGGGCCATGGTGCAGCAGCAAAGCTCTGACATAGTTGCTGTCATGGAACTGTGAGGAGATGACTCCATGACTGGAATGCTGCAATGGATGGCTCCAAGCTCTTCAGAAGGGACAGGTGAGGCATGAGAGGTGGTGTGATGACTCTGTATGTTCGGGAGGGTTTTGGCTGTCTGGAGCTTAGTGGCAGTGATGAAAAGGTCAACTGGTTATAGGTGAGAATCAAGGGGAATGGAAGGATGGCAAGGCAGATATCCTGGTGGGAGTCTGTTCTAGACCACCAAGCAGGATGAAGAGGCAGATGAATTATTCTATAAAGTGCTGGCTGATGTTTGGTGGTTGCCAGCTCTTGTTCTTGTGGGAGTCTTTAACCTGATGGATGTCTGCTGGAAGCAACACAGTGGAGAGGAGACAGTCTGAGAGGTTCCTGGAATGTGTGGAAGAGAACTTCTGACTCAGCAGCTGAGTAGCCCACCAAGGGTGGGGCCCTACTGGACCTGCGGTTTGCAGACTGAGGGGCTGCTGGAAGATGTGGAGGTTGGAGCCATCTTGGGCACAGTGACCACGAAATTAAGGAGTTTTCAATCCTTGGCCAAGTAACAAGGTGCGTCAACAAAACCTCTGCCCTGGACTGTCAGAGGTGAATTTCAGTCAGTTTGGAACACTGATTTGGACAGTCCCTTGGGAAGCAGCCCTTAAAAACAAAGGGTCCCAGGAAGGCTGGGCATGCATCAAGAAGGAAACCTTTAAGGTGCAGGAGCAGCCTGTCCCTGTGTGCCTAAAATGAGCTGGTGGAGAAGAACTTATCCCCCTGAACTTGGCATTGGTGAGGACACACCTCAAGTACTGTGTCCAGTTCGTAGCCCCTCTGTTCAAGAAAGATACGGAGGGGCTGGAGTCCAGAGAAGACAACATAGCTGGGAAGGCTCTAGAGGGTGAATCCTATGAGGAGCAGTGGAGGGAGCTGGAGAGGCTCAGCCTGGAGAAAAGGAGGCTCAGGGGGAACCTTCTCATTCTCCAAAACCCCCTGACAGGACAAGGGAGCCAGGGGAGGCTCAGCCTCCCAGGGAGCAAAGGACAGGACAAGAGGGAGCAGCCTCAACTTATGCCAGAAGAGGTTCAGGTTGGACTTCAAGAAAAAATTCTTCATGGAAAGGTGGTCAGGCATTGGAAGGGGCTGCCCTTGGAGTCCCAGTCCTTGGAGGTGTCCAAGGAACAACTGAACGTAGCACTCAGTGGTCTGGTCTGGTTGACAAAGTGGGGAGACCAGGCATGGGTTGGACTCAATGGTCTGGGAGGGCTTCTCCAGTGTAATTGATTCTGTGGTTCTGCGTGATTCTGGGATTTGAGATATTTGTATGGATGGATGGAATCCACTCTCAGCCTTCTCCAGACTAAGCAGGCCAACCTGTGCAGTCTCTCCTCATCAACAGACATGCTCCAGACCCTGAATCCTCTTTGTGGTCTCCTTGACCCTCCAGCAGCTCCTTGTCTTTCCTGAGTTGTGGAGCCCAGAGCAGCCTCACGTGGGCAGGGCAGAGGGGCAGGATCACTCCCCCTGCCCTGCTGGCCACACACTGTGCAACATCTCTGTGATGTCCCACCCAAAGGGAAAGGGAGAACTTGGGATCACAGACGCACAGGGAGAATTTGATATCTTTGTTAATGAAAAGGATGAAGGGAGGGAGTGCACCCTCAGCAGGTTTGCAGGTGACACCATGCTGAGTGGGGCAGGTTGCCCCTTGAGGGACCTGGACAGGCCCAAGGGGTGGCCTGTGGGAGCCTCATGAGGTTTGACAAGACCAAGTGCAGATGCTGTGCCTGGGGCAACCTTTGGAATCCATCCAGGCTTGGAATGAGCAGATGGAGGAGCCCTGGGAGAAGGATTTGGGTGTGCTGGTGGATGAGGGGCTGGACATGACCCAGCCTAAAACCCTCCTGTCCTGGGCTCATCCCATAGCATGGGCAGCAGGGGATTCTCTTGGATTGTGCTGTGTGAGGGAGATCAGGCATGCTGACTGCCTTCCACCTAGAGAGCAGCAACTGTATTTTCCCCTATAATTTCATACTGTTATCTTTTTACCCTCAGCCATCCTCCCACAAAATCCTTCAAGAAATTATAGAGGAAAAAAATGTAAACTTTCATTTCTCCAGGTATTTAATCAAAGTCAGATGCCTTTCTGAAATGGATGCAAATAAACATATGTAAAAGGTGAATGTAGGTGAATTAGCAGAGCACTGCTGTTTTGCAGTAAAGATCACATTTAAAATATTCATTCAGGGTGGGAAGGAGGGTTGACAGGCTGTTCCAGGGAGACTTTGGTGCCCCTTTGAGTACTTCAAGGGGGCTTAGAAAAAGGCTGGAGGGTTACTTTGGACAAGAGCGTGCAGCAATAGAACACAAGAAAAATGGTCTAAAGCTGAAGGTGGGCAGAGTTAGAGCAGGCATTAGGAAGGAATTCCTGACTGTGAGGGTGGGCAGGCCTGGCACAGGGTGCCCAGAGCAGTTGTGGCTGCCCCTGTATTCCTGGCAGTGCCCAAGGCCAGGCTGGACAGGGCTTGGAGCAACCTGGAATAATGGATGGTGTCCCTGCCCATGGCTGGGGTGGCACTGGGTGGTCATTAAAGTCCCTTCCACCCAGACCATTCCACATCTCTATGACTCTGTGCTGCCCCTCCCTGCTACGCCCAGCACTCAGAACTGTCCCCTTTGTGACAGCAGCCCTGGCCCGGGCACTGTGAGCACCACGAAGGCTGTGGGGGCTGTGGCGGGGCCACACTAGAGGTGCCACCTCGGTTCTGGCTGTGCCACCTGTGCTGGCACCGATGGCTCTTCTGCGGCTGCTCCTCCTGCTGGCCCTGGCCAGGCCCGTGTGGGGCTCCTGGGACACATGCAGGTCGGTGGTCCCAGGCTCTGGGAGGGAGTTGGAGGAACACTTGGGGACTTCACTGGCAGAACTGTGGGGAAAGACACCCCTCGAGGTTTTCTGGCCCTGCTGCTGCTCAGCACCGGGTGGGACTTTCAGCCTGAGTGGCAGCAGAGCAACAACAGTCACCGAGCAGGGCAGTGATGGCTCTGTGCTTCCAGAGGCACCTGCGGGCTCCGGCCCATGGCTTCCGACCACAGCTCTTCAGATCTTGACTACGACTCCATGATTTCTCCTGCTGACCTGTCCCGTGTTGTGGCTGGCACGGGTGTCCAGCCAGGGGCCTGGCCCGGCATTGTCAGCATCCAGGCCACCTGGGAGAACGGCACGTGGCACATGTGCTCGGGTGTCCTCCTCAGCTCCCAGTGGGTGCTCACGGTCGCACACTGCTTCGCCAGGGCCGGGTAAGAAACAGCAGGGACAGAGATGTCCCTGGGGCAGGGCAGGTGCCCAGCTCACAGCACCACGTGCCACTTCCCTGCCCGCCTTGGGAAGCAGAAGGCCGGGAAATGCTGGGCTGCTGCAGCCCGTGGCTCTGCTCCCTGTCACCCCTCTGTCCATCTGCTCCCTGTCACCCCTCTGTCCATCTTTCTCTCTGTCACCCCTCTGTCCATCTGCTCCCTGTCACCCCTCTGTCATCTGCTCCCTGTCACCCCTCTGTCCATCTGCTCCCTGTCACCCCTCTGTCATCTGCTCCCTGTCACCCCTCTGTCCATCTGCTCCCTGTCACCCCTCTGTCCATCTTTCTCTCTGTCACCCCTCTGTCCATCTGCTCCCCAGGGGCATCTCCAGGTGGGAAGTGGTGATGGGGGTTTCGGATCTGAGCCAGCCGGGCCCCGAGGCTGAGGTGAGACACATCCAGAGGCTCCTGGTGCACCAGCACTACGTGCCTGCCACAGCCAGGAATGACATCGCCCTGGTGGAGCTGGACCGGCCCGTGGAGTGCAGTGACTACATCCAGCTGGGCTGCGTGCCCGACGCCTCCATCAGGGTCTTGGAGCTGAAATCCTGCTACATCGCCGGCTGGAACTTTGCCAGAGGTGAGCTCCCAATGGGATGTGTACTCCGAGGGTGAGCTGGGCACTCCGAGGATACAGACTGGGCACCCTGGGGACATGGACTGGGCACCCTGGGGACATGGACTGGGCACAGACAGGGACACAGACTGGGCACAGACAAGGATACAGACCAGGCACCCCGGGGACACGGACTGGGCACCCCGGGGACATGGACTGGGCACAGATAGGGACATGGACTGGGCACCCCAGGGACACGGACTGGGCACAGACAGGGACACGAACTGGGCACAGACAGGGACACGGACTGGGCACAGACAGGGTCCAGCTGCAGGACGTCAGCGGGGCCGGGCTCGGAGCAGCCCAGGCTGGGGAAGGAGTCCCTGCCAAGATGGGGCATGGAACGGAATGAGCTGTAAGGTCCCTGCTCACCCAAACCATTCCTGCTGGCCCTGTGAAGCCTCAGGAGAGATGGGTCTGGCTCCTCCCCAGGCCAACAGCAGGGACACAGCTGGGCAGCATTGCCTC